ACTCTCATGTAGCGTTCCGCCAATTTAAACGAGTAGCGTATGCACTATTAATGCTGAATTATGCCATAGTGCACAATTAGTCTTAGCTTATCGGGAGTTATTACTTAGCAGTTAAATACTCACAAGCTACTATCATTCACTATATATGCTCTAGAGCATAATTATTGAATCTGGAACATAATTATGTAGGCGTTTCGCCTTCAGGAAGATTGGAGCTGCTTGTAATAGACCTGCTTCTAATTCTGGAGCTTGCACTACTAGGTGCAGAGCAAGAATCGAAGATCACTTTCAGTCGGAAAATCAAAACACCATGCGAGCTCATGCTGCCGTGTGGCTTTTCGCTTCAGATAATGGATCTATATACGCTCAGAAGTACGCTCGAGATAGATTGCAACTACAGGGGACATATCTACGCGTATCGGACAGTAAATGGCTGCTGAATCGAGGCGGTGTTGCGTTGAGAGCTGCTTGGAGTGTTCTGCCTCTAGAAGAAAGGCTGCTGATGTTGAACAAGACTGCGGATGAAGGATTTCCCCGGCACCTTATTGATCAAGGGATCGGGATAGAGGATGAGCGCGCAAAACGAAGTAAGAAAGGGACTAGATCTCACTCTTCTACAAAGAAGTCGAAACGAGAAGGGAGCCAATCACAAAAACGTGTGTCTGAAACTACAAACATTAAGCAAACCCAAGCGAAGCTGATTCGAGCCCGTAATAAATACTATCAAGTTCTGACAGCAGAGCGCAACCTAAACATTCACACGTCATACAATCGCGGGAGCTTAAGCGGCGTCATTGATGCGGTAACTGGTACCGTTGAGAGCATTATACTGCAGTCACGTGATGACGATGGAGCAACGACAGCCGAGGACGCATATACGGCTATAGCTACGCGCTTGGCTACAGCGTTTGTATCTATGAGGGTATTGCAATGTTTCCGCCTTGAGCATGGAGACGTTCAGGATGAACCTTCGCAAGAATTCTCGGAGAATAAGATTCGAAAGGTACACGATGCTTATAGAGAGGCTGCTGAATCTGCATTATGAAGATGCAGAGAGTTAAACGTCTCTGAGGATCAGATGCGCCCATTCTCCCTTTCGACGTTCAAT